GTGTTACTGTATATAGACCTGCCGTGAAGTGTGATGAGCTCTCCTTCCTTAAATGGTGCGCGCTCCCAGGAGAGCGTCTCTCTCGCTTGCCCTTCCTCCCCCGTCCCCTCTCCCTCTCGCCCTCCCTGCCTCCCTTTAACCTTCACACGGCATCTGGCTGCGCCCGGGGAGCCTCCGCGCCCCGCCGCCCGCAGGGCGGGCTAGTGTGGGGACGCCCGGTCAGGCCTGGGGGTCTTGTGCGAGCGCGGAGGCTTCGGAGACAGTGCGGGCCCCGCTGGCCGCCGTGGGGGCGGAGCCCTGCAGGGGTGCGCACCCTCCTCGGGCACGCCTCGCGGGCCCCCCCCAGCCTCTGGCCGCCGCCACCCGGCCCCATGAGGGAGGAAGCCAGGGGCCGGAGGCTCGGTGACTTGGCACTGGGGCTGTTTGGTCCCGGAAACAGTTCACCTCCTGCGGAGCCCCCCGCTGGGGGCTCGGGGCCCAGTCCCCTCCCCGGGCAGCAGACACCTTCCTGACTGCGGCCCCAGGCCACCACAGATGTGCCACGGACGTGCCAGGTCGTGGTGACCGGGGCCGCTCCTTGACCTGAGTGCCGTCACCCCCCCCCCCCCCCCCAGCCCGGCCCCTCAGGCTTTGTCTTTGATGCCCACGATCTCCCGTGACAACCCTGCACTCTGCCCTCCCGCCACGTGACTCCTGGGGACAAGCAGAGCCCACGCTGAGTCACCGCTGCCTCCCTGCTGTCCCCAGAGACGCCGGGGTGCTCGGTCCCCTGGGCCGCCCGCCAGCCTGCGGTGGACGAGGACCCCCCGGGCCCGGGAGCCAGGGGAGCAGACCTGACACAGACGGGCGGAGGACTGGAGGCCGGTCTGGAGCGCCCTCGCCTCCACGGGGATGGGCCTCGGGGGGACGGGGTTTCTGCCCTCTGACCCCTAGTCCCGCATGGGCGGTCAGGGGGTCTCCCCCTTGGGCTCGAGGGCCATTTATCATCATCCCTAGTTTTCCAGAGGCTCGTCCTGCAGGGGGACCAGACGGGGGGACCAGGAGGCAGGTGGCTTGGCGTGGAAACAGCAGCCAGGAGAGGCCAGAGGCTGCCCTGGGGCCTTGCCCTCCAGCGGGCAGGGCTGCCGCTGGGGCTCAGCGGGCTTGTGGGGCCCCAGGGTGGGTGCGGAGAAACCTGCGCCCAGGGCCGCCGGCCCCGCAGGTCCCGAGCGCGGGTGTTGGCTTTTGAGGACAGAGCGCCTGGCCTGCTGTCAGGGAGAAAACACCCCTCCCCAAAACGGCGTGAGCGCTGCCTAATAAAGGCAGCGCTGGACGGAGGGAAACAGCCCTTTGAAAAAAAGCCTTTCATTAGAAAAATAATGCATTTCATCCAAATAAGGTAAAAATATTTGGAAAGGGGCAGAAGTGAGCAGCAGGCAGCGCCTGTCAGGCCCTTTCTGGAAGGGGAGATTATTAGACCCAATTACAGCGTATTTTTGTGAAGCGTCTCTCGGGAACTCGCTTGCCTGCCCCGCGCCGGGGGCTGCGGGGCACCCTCCTGGCCCGGCCCCCGCCGCCAGCCCGGTGCTCCTGGGTTTGCGGCGCCCCCCGCAGGCGGGGCCCCAGGGAGCCTCTCTGCCACCCTGTGGCCGGCCCCCCTCCACACGGGGTTCCTGGGACCCCAAGCTGGGAAGGGGAGGGTCCTGCCTGGGGCGGGTGCTGTTCTGCGGCGGACGCCCCGTCGGATGTTTAGGGGGGACAGAGTAAAGCCCCCCCCCCGCGCACCGCCCACGTGGCTCCCTGGGTACAGGTGTGCTCACGGGCGAGCGCACCAGTCTGTCTCCTTTTACATAAAGAGGGGAAAGTCCTCCTCAGCGTCTTGTGACCTGCGTGTCCCGATGAAAGCGAGTCCTGTGTCCTTGGGTGCTCACACCAGGTGGGAGCGGGAGGTTCCCTAGAGGCTCCCCCTGGCCCTCGGTGCCCAGGCGGGACCCTGCGGTGCTGGTCCTGCAGCCCAGAGCCTCCCTCCCCTGCTGTGGACTGCCCCGCCCGGCCCAGCCCCGCCCCAGCCCCGCCCCCACCTCTGCCCTGTCCCCTCCCACCCAGCCCTGCCCCTGCCGAGCCCTGGCCCTGCACCGGAGCCCGAGGAGGAAGGGCAGGCAGGAGACATTTTCTGCAGGCCTGATGGTCATCCTCAGGAGTTTACTTCATCCTTAGTGTTTCTTGGTCTGTCTGCTCAAAGTCACTTCTGCCAAGGCACCCAGCGCGGGCCTGGGGGCCTAGACAGGGCGAGGGCACAGGTGCCAGTGAGACCCTGCAGGTGGGGCGGCTCCAGCCCGTGGTGTCGTGCTCCCCTGGGGGTCAGCCCGAGTCCTGGCGGGCCCCTCCTTGCCCTTGCCGAGACTCTGGCCCCTGCCCTCCCCCCTGCCGGGGGCAGTGACGAGACAGGTGGTGGTGCTGTGTGACCGCCACCTTCACGCACGCACGCACGGGCTGCCCCGCCCGCCCCCTAGGCTGTGTCTCGGGGCAGGTCCGCAGTCTCCAGCACCCCGTGGGGCACCTTCCCCTGAACCGTGCATAGTTCACTTTCATCGAGCACTTAGAAGTGTGATCCTTCCAGGAGGGGAGAGAGACTTCATAATCTGATCTGGAGAACACCCGAAGCCTCTTCCTGGCAAGCGCTGAAAGCCTCTGCGGTTCTCAATGCACCTTGGAAGCTCGGGCTCCCCTCCCCCCCCCCCCCCCGCCCCGCAGCCCCGGGAGAGCAGTTCCCCGGGGTCAGCAGTGCTGCGGCGCCCGGGAGACCCCTGCGTGGCCGCCGAGCCTCGGAGGCTGTGGACAGAGCCAAAGCCTCCCCAGGCTGGGGGTCCCTCCCCCAGTAGCTGGGGTTTGGGGTGCACAGCAGGAGAAGCAGGTGGGCCGGGCTGCTTGCTGCAGCGCCCTCTGCCCCCTGTGCGGGCTGTGGGCCTGTCCCGGAGGGGGTGGGGCCTCCCCCCTTGCAGGGTGGCACAGGCCTGGCCCTGGTCGTCCCCAGCGAGACCCCCAGGGCTGCTACCCACTGTGCCCCCTGAAGATGCACCACTGACTGGGGTAGCAGCACTTCGTCTGCCACCCCCTGTGCCCTGGCCGTGGGCCAGGGCCCTCTCGTGCAGGGGGATGGACGAGCTCCCTTTGCCCAGGCAGACCGGGTGTGCCGGCTCCCCAGCCTCTGGTCCAGGTGGGCGGGATGGAGCAAGGCCCCCGCGGGTGACTCAGCTGGAGCCCGTGCAGCTGGGCCTGGTTCCTGCCAAGAGGTTTCGAAAGTCTTGAATTTGCCCCAGTTTGGGTGTAGGAGCATCACAGCTACTTAAACCCCAGGATGAAAGCATGCTTCACGGCATCTCCCACTGAGTCCAGCAAGCCCCAGGGGGTGCTGTGGGGTGTCCCTGGGCAGTGGGGGGGGACACCATCCCAGCTGCAGGCCCCTTCCTCCCGGTGGGTGACACAGGCTCTGAGCAGGAGCCCCCCCCCAGTGGGTGTGGTGGGTGCTTTTCCCCCGGGCCAGTGCCTGGGAGTCGAGATGGTGGGCCCTGATGATTAGGAGGGCCCGGGCCCTGTCTGTCTACCGTGTGTGGATCTGCCGAGGTCCACCGGGGCCCAGAAGACCTGGGGGCAGCTGATGCGAGGGCAGTTTTGGGGGGGGGTCTGTCCTGAGTGCCCACTTCCCCTCCCCTGAGAGGGCCCTAGGAGTGCCTGAGAGGCAGCCGCCCCCGCCCCCCGCCGCTGCAGCGCCCGGGGAGAGCCCTGCGGCCCCACTGCCCACCCAGCCGAGGCCTGGGCTTGGCTCCCCGCCGCCCCTCGGGCCCCCCACGGGAGGGCCGGTTGGCCCACCGGGGCCCAAGAAGCTCCAGTAATGGTTTTAATTTGTTGAACTTGTGTTTTATCCCATAAATTAGTCACTGTTTTATTTAACAGAATCGAGATATCCACAAACAATAGGCGAGTTCCAACTTGAACATTTTAATAAGACAGAAAAAAGTATATATTTTCGCGTCTGTTACAAACATATTTATGTAAATAGCTTGTGGGCCCGGTTCCAGGAGGCGAGGAGGAAGGGAAGGGCCTGTGTGTGCGCGGCTGGGCGAGGACGAGCTTCGTGGCGGGGGGAGACACCAGGCTGGGCGGGCGGGCCTCCCCACCCCCCGGCCCAGCGGCGCGGCCACGGCAGCTCAGGGAGATGCCCCGGAAGGCGGCGGGCCCCCCACACGCCCCCTCCCCGAGGCCCTGGGCCGCCTGGCCGCCTGGAAGGGGGTCCGCTCGGGGCCAGGCTGGCAAGGCGGCGCAGATGACGAGGTGTCCTGAGAAGCAGGTCGCCGTCCAGAAGCGTCAGGGTCCCTGAGGCGTGAGGCTGGCACTCTGGGCAAGGCCCCCCGGGGGTGCCCCCGCCACCCGGGCCTCTGGGGGCGCCCCAGCCGCGGTGCCCCTCTGGCTCTGCCCCCCGAGCGCTCCAGGCAGGAGCCGAGCCAGCATCCGGATTGGATCCGGGTACACGCCGTTCCCGGCCGGGCAGGTCCCTGCAGGAAGGAGGAAGGAGCCAGGGGAGGAGGCATCTGCGTGACCCTGCCAAGCGCCAGCCCAGTCGCCCTGCTGACAGAGGAGGGGGCTGGCGGGGCGCGGGGGAGGGGGCCTGGGGAGCCTTTGCCGGAGACACGAGGCTTCGGTGTCCATCGCCTCTGCGCGCAGGCGGCTCCCAAGTCTCAGGTGGGGCCTTCAGGCAGGTCTGGAGGAGGAGGCCACCCTTTAGCTGTGCATGGCCCAAGCCCCTCACCATCTGCCCCCAGCCAGCTGGGAGAACTTGGCCTCATTCCAGGGGTGAAACCGGCCTTCCCCCTTCTCTGCCGGGGTTGAAGGTCACCGACTGCTCTCCCCCAACACCCCCCCCACCCCAGGCTCTGCGAGGAGGTCAGCCCTCCTGCCCCTGCACAGCTGGTCGCCAACAGCTGCGGGGGGGGCTGAGTTTAAAAATAAAAGGTAACTTGAAAGGGTTTTTTTTTCCAGTTTTTATTGAGTGAAAATGTCAAACCTTGCATCAGTCATGCAAAAAAAAATCAAATAAATAAAACACATATATTAAATTTCTAATAGCACTAAATTCAAGTGGAAAAATATTCAGTTCTTAATAACCAGGTGCCGAGGAGACCAGATTCAAGTAATCAGAGCACACGCTGTTCAGTTCGGTTCTCACGTTCTGCATTTGCGTCTCAAAACCTCTCTATATATCTCTCTCTATCTATATATGTATATACATATAGATATATACACACATGTGCATACATATTATTTTATATTTATATATATACACATACATAGTTATAAAACATTAAAAAGAGCATTGGTGGATCAAGCATTGTTTTCCCCACAGAAAGAAAATAAAACAAAAATTACACATTAAAATTCAAAATGAGCTAGCAATGGCTTGTAGTCCTAGTGTGCAACATGAAGGTACAAAAGGCTAGACTTCGCACTGTCGGCGTCTTCTTTTTTTCTTTCTTTTTTTTTTTGTTTGATTTTGCTACATCGAAAAATGTTTTTGTTTTTTTGTGTTTTTTTTGTTTTTTTTTTTCCTTTACAAAACTCCTTCCACAGACTCATGGGTTCTGTGGCTGGGCACAAAGTCTGGGCGAACGCTCAGCAGCCGCGCGGGGCGCCCACGGAATTCAGGAGGCCCCGGCGGGGGGCTGCTTTAGAAAGGGTGTGTCCTGTCGAACCGGGTACACTCCGCCTGACCCCTCCTCCCTCCCTGCTCCCCCTCCAGTTCCCATGGTCCTGGCTTTCTGGCTGTGGGCAGCCAAGAAGACAAACAAAAAGAAAAAAAAAAAGAAAAGAAAAAAAAAAAGGAAAGAGAAAGGGAAGGGGGAAGGACATCACTGCCCCCTAGTTGGGTAGGGCTCCCCGTGGAGACCTGTAGGGATGTGGCTCTGGGTGACAGGCCCTCCCCCAAGACCGGGCCTTGCTCGCTCCCTGTGGCCGGAGTCTCAGGGTCCAGATGTCCACTTTGAGGACATGTCCCTGAGACCAGCTGGTGGCCTGCAGTGCAGACAAGGTGAACAGGAGAGGCCCTGGGCTGCCCGCCCTGCGTCCCTGTCACCCTCATAGCCACTGGCCAGGTGTGTGTGCCTGTCGGGCGGGCCGCTCTGGGCTTGGTGACCTTATCGTCTCCAGGAGGGGGGAGGTTTTGAAAAGGGAACCAAGTCTAGGTGGGGTGCATCCACAAGGAAGCACCCCAAACAATAAAACACGGGGTGGGGGAGGGGCGGTGGGGCGAACAGCCCTGTAAAGCCACACGCATAACCAATAGAGAAAAACTCAAATGTTAAATTAACTACAAACTTGTATCAACAGTAAAAGTCCTCTTCTCTCGCCTCTACAAAATTCAAGTTAGGAGTTGGAACCCCGCGGCCCCCAGCAGTGCTAGTGCAGACCTCGGACTCGGCCCGGGCGCAGGCGGGCCCCGCCCCCCCCTCCCCTCCCGCCTGCTTCGCTTCCTTTTTGTTCTGTGTAGAGTAATAACCTTGACGGGAAAAATACTGTACAACTTTCTCGCATTTTTTCCACTTTGAGTAGTAAAGCCCCAAACAGTCGCATCTTTCCTGTTCCCACCACATGGGGCGCTGAGACCCGGGTGGGGCCCGCACCCCAGCCCCGGTTTTCCGTTTGTGGGGGGCACACGGACCGGGGCGCCCCATCCGCTCCCCAGCCCTCGGGAGCAGACACCGGGGCAGGCCCTGCAGTGGGGGCAGGGTGACCGCGGGGCGGGGGGGGGGGGGCCCGGCTCTGCTCCTCCCACGAGGTCTCCTCCGCGGTCCCTGTAGTGTCTCCGTGCGGCCGTCTTTAGCCCCGCCCACCCCCACGGCGAGGAGGGCGGGCCTCAGCTGTGTGACCCGGCCCTGCCAGATGCCACAGGTGCCGGCCCGCCTCTGGTGGTTGGGGGTGGGGGTCCCGGGGACCCCCAGCGCCCGTCCCCGTCCTGAGCAATGAGGAATCCCACTGGCGTGGGGGTGGGGCCCGGGGTCCGGCCTCGGGGAGGGTCGCCGGGGGCAGCTGCCGGGGGTCTGCGCCCGCCTCGCCCTCGGGGACCCCCGCTCCCCTCTCCCACCCCGGACAAGAGCACCTTCTATTTCCCTGAAGAAGATCCCCGAGCTGCAGCCGGAAGGTGTGCTTGGCAGCCTGTCCTTCCAGCCGCGGAGCTGCGCGGGCAGCGGGCGCGGGGGCGGCCCCGGAGCACCAGAGGGGGCCCCGCCTCTGCCCTGAGACGGACTCGGGGTCCGGAAGCACCGGCGGGGCGGCGGGGGCCCGAGCCCGGAGCCGGAGCGCCCCACCCCTCACACGGGAACCACAACGAACATCTAGCTCTGTACAGAGGGAAGCTTGACGTATAAATACCATTTCTTACAAAATTAATAACAATAATAATAAACAAAGGGGCGAGCCCTCAGGGCGGGTGGCCGTCCCCGCTCGGCCAGGCGGCTAGGGCGAGGCGGGCGAGGCGGGCGCGGCGGGCTCGGGGGGCGCGGGGGCCGCGGGCGCGCCGAGGGCCGCCCGCTCCGGGCTCCGCGCGCCCGGCCCGGCCTCCGACAGCGACTCCTCCGAGTCGGTGCGCAGGTCCTCGTCGTCCTCCTCTTCCTCATCGTCCTCGTCCTCCTCCTCATCGTCATCGTCGTCCTCGTCGTCGTCCTCGTCGTCCTCCGCCTCCTCCTCGTTCAGCTCCAGCTCCTCCTCCTCGTCCTCCTGCGACGACTCCCCGGCTGCCGGGCTGGGGCCGAGCGCCGCCGGCGCGGACGCGGCGGGACCCTCGCGGGGCGCCGGGCCGTCGGGCGGCGCGGGTTCGCCCGCGTCGCCCAGCCCCAGGCCCAGGCCGGCGGCGGCCGTCTGCAGGAAGAGCAGGGAGCCCCCAGGCTCGGTGCCCAGCGACAGCGAGCTGTCCAGGCCGCCGGCCGGGCCGGGCGCGGGGCCCTCGGAGCCGGGCTCGCCTCGCTCCTGCTTCTCGTGCTTGCGCTTGTGCGAGTCCATCTGGGACATGCCCACGACCGTGTGGCGGCAGCCCGGGTACGTGCAGTGGAAGTGCGAGCACTTGAGCTTGTACTTGCAGTCCGGCACGGCGCAGTCGGCGCTCGAGCTGAACTGGCAGAAGCCGGCCGCGCTGATCACGTCCTGCTTGCCGTGGTGCTTGCGGTGCGCCGTGACCTTGGTGCTGTCGGTGCAGCGGAAGCGGCAGCGCAGGCAGTGGAAGTGCGTGCTCGTGCCCGAGAACGGGCAGTCGGCGAAGTGGCAGCTGAGCGAGGCCTTGAAGCGCTTGAAGTCGTCCAGCACGAGGTTGTCCACGCGGTCGTGGTGCTGCGCGTGCTTGTACATGTGCGTGCGCCCGCAGAACTTGTAGCCGCAGTTCTCGCGCGTGCAGTGGTAGTGCGTGACCTTGAGCGAGAACTGGCAGGCCGCGTCCTTGCAGTCCTCGTAGAGGTCGAAGCGCCGGAAGCCCTCCAGCATCATGCCCTCATCCAGCATCTTGCGTGAGGAGGCCGTCTTGCGCCGCTTCCCGAAAGGGGACATGTCCTCGATGATCCAGAAGCGCTTCTTGGCCCCCGAGGCTGTGGGCATGGAGATGGTGTTCCCTGGGGAGGGGAGGGGAGGGGAGGTCAGCGTCCCTGCGGGCACCACTCCCAGGGTCCCACCCGGGCAGGGCCCCCGAAACCGGCACAGTGGGCAGAGAGCAGCCTTTAGGGGCGACGACTCCTCTCTCCGTGGCTGGGGGGGGGTCTCTCGCATGCCCCCCCCGCCCCCCCCAGAGCAGCCAGAGAGCCCGGGCTTTCCCGGGCATTAGCCATGTCTGCGGGATGACCACGTGGGCGTCTGCCCTGGTGGCGGAGCCGCCAGCTCCGGGGGATGTGGCTGCCGCTTCCTGGCCAGTCTGGTTGGGGAGTGGGGACGTGTCCCGGTGCTGATTGAAGCTGGAGGGGGGATCTCGGTCGGCGGGGTGCAATTACCCAGGTTGGACTGGGGCCAGGACGCCGTCACGAGCCGGCCCTTCATGAGGGGCAGGCTGGCTCCTTCTCCCGCCCGCTAACCCGTTCCCCTGGGGCCGCCTGTCTGCACGGGGGACCAGCCTACTCGCAAACGGGGTGCCGGGCCCTACGGGGCTGTTTGGGGCTGTGACTCCTTGCCCCAAGGAGCACCGACTTCTCCGTGGTGCCGGAAGCTTCTTTAAGGTCTTGTTGGGGTTCTCTACCTGCACTGAGCTGGGAGAGGCAGCTCTGAGGAGCGGCCGGGACGGGGCAGGGGCTCAGGCAGTGGGTGGGGGGCCCATCTGTGCCCACCTTCCGGCCCCAACTGCTCCCCAGGGCCCGGGATGCCCCGTGGCCAGGGCTGACCCCTCAATGGTGGTTGTGCTTCTGCCACGCCCTCCCCGGCTGAGGGGACCCTCAGAGCTGCAGGGGAAGGGGCCCAGACCTGGCACCCCTCCAACTGCCCAGAAACATGGAGAAGCTCTTGGGCCTAGCCCTACTCAGACGGGGGGCCAGCGTCCACGGTAACCCCCTGCTGCCCTATCCATTTGGGGCCTGTCATGCACCATTAGCAGGTGAAGAGAAACCAGGGACTGCAATGGGGGGGGGCGCTCCCCGGCAGGAGGCAAGGGAGGGCCTGCGGCCTGGAGATGCGGGCAGGTGAGGGGTAGCTGCTTTGGGCCTGAGGTCGCAGGGCTCCAGCTGGTTGGTTATGCCAGCAACAGAGCTTTCTGGGGGCTTCGTCCCACACGGGGGACCCCCCCCACCCTGCTCTCTGCCCCACCCCTGGGCCTGGCACTCGGGCAGGCTGCGAGGCAAGAGCGAGTGGAGGGAGAGGCAGAGCCGGGGGACGACCGCACAAGGGGACAGGGTGGGGCAGGTCCCATCCATGGGGAGCAGCAGACACGGGGCGAGCCGGGAGGCACCCCCGCCACGGAGCACGGCGGGGCCGGGCCGAGACCCTGCCTCTTCCTGCTTTGGCCCCAGGGCTGGGGCTTCAGGCCGGTGCCAGGACCCTCTGAACCCCGGCCAGTCCCAGGCACCAGCAACCTCCCCAAGACCACCGCCTGCCTCCCTGGTGCCGGGTCCCAGGCGAACTCCCAAGAGCAGGAGGGGCAGGCTCTGCCTGGCCGCAGGAATCTCGGGGTGCGGCTGTGGGGAGTTTCCGAGACAGGTCAGAGCCCAGGGACCCCTGCCAAGCACTGCTCCGGCCGGCCCGGTGCGGGGCAGCCACGGCGAGGAGCAGCGCCCCGGTGAGAGGCCCAGCTCCCCGGGCCCAGGCGTGCTGCTCTTCGAGGCGCCGAGGGTGGCCCCGTCCTTGGCCCCGCAGGCCCCAGAAGAGGGTCTGGTCCTGGACCCCGGCCTCAGGGGCCGGCTCAGGTGACAGACACTGGCGAGGAGGCACGTGTGCGTTACCTGCGGCGTCCTGAACTAGGGGGACGTCACTTTTTACTGGAGTTGGAGTGGCAGTGACGGGCGGGAAGCTGGGCGGGCTGCTGAGGGGGCGGGCCAGGCCCCGGGCGGCTCCGAGAGCGGCACTGAGCAGAGAGTATGAGAGACAGGGTGGAGAGAAGAGGCAGGGGAGGGCGGGGAGGGGCGCCCGGAGCACGGCCGGGGAGAAGGGCGGGGTCAGGGGGGGCAGTGGAGCCACGCGGGCAGCCTGGTCGCCGGCGGCAGCAGGAGGAGGAAGAGGAGGAGGAGGAGGAGCCGGGCAGCCTGGAGAGGGTGGAAAAAAGCAGAAACAAAACAAAACAAAACAAAGAGGAAACAAACAAAAAAAGAACCAAAATGAGAAACCCGATGGTAGAAGCAAGTATGACATGAAAATACGTGGACAGATGAGGAGCAGAGAGGTGCCACAGAGAAGAGAGGGGAGGAGGTGGCGGAGACAGACGGGAGGGGAGGCGGGGCACGGGGAGGCCGTGGGCTCGGCGAGGGCCTGTGGCAGAGCCCTGCCCGGGTGGGACCCTGCTCTAGGGCCCAGGGACCCTGCTGGGGACGGTGGCGCAAGGACCAGAAGAGGTGCCAGGGCCGGGAGGGGCAGGCGCGTGCCTCGGCCCCTGGGCAGGTGTAGGCCCCGCTCACTGGCTGGGGGCTCTCCCAGAAGCTAGCACCGAGGGCAGAGCGCTGGGGGGAGGTGGGCAGGGTGCAGGTGGTGGCCTCAGTGACCCACGTCCCAGACCAGCTGGCTCTGCCGCACACTGGCCCGACTTTCTCAGAGGCCACTCGACCATGACCCTCCTGTCCCAAAACGGGCTCAGCAGTGCTGGCCTTGGGGGCAAGGGCCTGGCCCTGCCGGGAGCTCCCGGGCCCCCCTGCCCCTTCCTGGCCTGCCCCTCGCCCGGCCCCCCCCCCCCCGCCGGCTGCCCACTCACCTGCCGCGGTGCTCTCGTTGCCCACGGGGGTGCTGGAGCAGCTCCGGTCCATGGTGGACGACTCAGAGGACACGGCGCCCGGGCTGCAGCCGGTGTAGTCCATGTACTCGTCCGTCTCCGTGTCCATCAGGCTCGGGGGGCCCTGAAAGGAGGCGGGGGCCTGAGGAGGCTGGGCTGGCAGCAGGCCGGCGACCTGGGCGGCGCGGCCCGCCCTCGGGAAGCGGGAGTGGGGTCCCGGGTGGGCCGGGCTCTCACCTGGGAGGTGGGCACCCGGTCGAAGTTCTTCCCCAGCATCCGCCGCATGTGCTTCCGGGCGTGGGAGGTCATCTGGTGCTTGAGCAGGAAGGAGAACTGGCAGCCCTCGCGGATGCAGTGGAAGTGGCTGTTCACCTGGTTGTACTTGCAGCCTGCGGACACAGCCCGCTCGGCCGTGAGCCCCCGCTGGCCCGGGCTCCGGACGCCTGCCGCGCGTCGGCCACCGCTCTGGGTGGTGGGGAGTGCGGCTGCGAGGCGGGCGGCTCTGGGGAAAGGGCTCTTCCCCGGGGGTGGCATTCCTACGAGGAGGGGGCGTACCCCAGCCCTCCGGCCTAGCAGAGGGGCGCCTGACGATGACAGGCGGGCCCCCATCCCCTGCCCCAAACACTGAGGGGCCCATGGGATCCACAGCAAGGGACCCTAACGACCTGTGTCCCCTGGGTCAGCCACCTCCCAGCACGCCGCCTGCCTCCTCCTCTCCGCTGGGGGGCCACAGGCCAGCTGGCCACCCCCCGCCCCGCCCTAGCCCCTCCCACCTCCACCAGGGCTTTGCGCCGCGCTGGCTGAGAACGAGCGGCGCAGGCGGGACTGAAGCAGTGCCGGCGAAGGGCAGGTGGAGGCCTGTCTGTCGCCATGGCGCCCGCGCGGGCCAGGTGTCTGGTGTCCTCCCCAGCTCCGTCTGGCCCAGCCAGCACCCAGAACACCCCGAGCGGAGTAAACAACAGCCACTGCAGAGTACCCCGACACCCGTAAACTGAGCCCAGGAATAGCCCAGGCCACCAGGTGTGGGCATCTGTTGCCACGGTTACCAACCTTCTCTCAGGTCGTGAATTCTTTTTCTGAAGGATACTTGAAGGAGAGGTGTGTGCCCTCTCTTTTCTGCCAGTTGGCTTTGGGCATCTCAGCCTCCCCCGGTGGAAGGGCCGGTGGGCAGCGGACTGTGTGCCCCCCTCCCCCCCCGTGCTCCCAAAGACCCTACTGCTGCGACTGCCCGGGCCACTCCGGGGCTGGCCTACAAGGCCAGAGTCTCCGCCCAGTCTGCCCCCTAGGGCAGACCTGTGCCCCATGCTGGCAGGCTCCATGCTGATCGGGAGGCTCCGTCCTGGGTCGGGATGGCACCTCTGCCCTCTGCCCGCCAGTCCTGCAGCCCCTCCCTGCGGGCACCTCCAAGGGCAGGCTCTGGGGGATCTGTGCCCAGGCTCGGTGGGGGGGGGGGGCAGCTTCCCTGCAGGGGGCCCCACTCTCCACAGCAGAGTCAACTGGAGGCACCTGCTGCCCATCCGGGCTGCTGCCAGCCCCACAGCCCCTTCTTCCTGGGTCGCCCCGCGTCAGAGGTGCTCTGGGCTTAGCCCGCCATGAACCTGCTTGTGCCTCCAAGTCCCCGGCACCGAGCACAGGGCTGGCCACAGCGGATACAACAAGAAACCTTAGATTCTGCTGCTACCACCCCCGCGGCCCGAACGCACCAGCGGACACCCCTGGAGCACCTTGGACAAGTCGGGGAAGCCACGGGCGCCGACCCCAGCACAGGGAGCTCGGGAGCTCCTGGCTCTGCCCGGAGCGCTCTCTTGAGGAGAGGAGGAGAGAGAACCAAGTCCGGGCCTTCTCCCCGGGGTGGGTGCCGCGCCCCGAGTCTCACACGAGCTCCCCTTTTCACGGGCTCTTGGGCTGTGACTGTTTTCCCAGCTCGGCAGCGCGGGGCCTGTGACACTTCTTACCCAACGGGGACCCGGTGTGCGGGGGCAGGCGGTGCAGCCACCCAGGCCACCGGGGCCCCAGGGGCCAGAGCCGCAGCCCTGCCGCCGGCCGCACGTCCCTGCCCCCAGCCCCTGGTACCTAGCCGGCCGCACTCCTCGCGCTTGGTGAAGTACTTGAACCCATTGGCCGCCCGCCGCTCGGCCTTCTCGTGCTTCTTTATGTGCCACGGCAGCTTGGTGGTGATGTTGGTCACGAAGTAGCAGCCGGCCCGGAGGCAGTGGTAGTGCCCGCGCATCCGGAACTCGCAGTGCTGTGGGGGCGGGGCGGGGGGAGATGGGGGGTCAGGGCCACAGGCAGATTCCAGGAGCTCCCACCTGGCCCAGGCCTCCAGGCTGTGGCGGGGCCCTGGCGTATGGGTTCTTCCACGCTCAGAACCAGGGAACACACTCAAGTGAAGACCTTTCACACGTTAAAAGGCACTATGTGCCTGGCTGGCATAGCTCAGTGGACTGAGCGCAGGCTTCGAACCAAAGTGTCGCAGGTTCGATTCCCAGCCAGGGTACATGCCTGGGTTGCAGGCCATGACCCCCAGCAACCGCACATTGATGTTTCTCTCTGTCTCTCTTTCTCCCTCCCTTCCCTCTCTAAAAAATAAATACATAAAATCTTTAAAAAAAAAGGCAGTGTGTCCCTTTTGTCACTTGATGACAACATCCCACCTGTGTTACTGCCATCTGCCTCTAAGCCATACCCAGGGCAGACATCACTAATCTATCCTCACTCTTCTCTGTATGCCCAGACCTGGGTCCAGACCCCTCCGCGTGCCCACCACAAAGCGGGCTAGGCCTTTCTGGTGAAGCCGCGCTGCCCTTCCTGTCCAGGGCACAGACACCTCAGTCTCTCTCTGTGTGTGTCCCTTGTGCCTATTTTAAAACCCGGGCCTTCGGGGAAAGGGAGCCTCACGGGTTCCAGGAGGCGGATCGATGATGCCAAGGGCCCAGCGGGGCTGCCCAGCCCGGAGTCACCAGTGAGGGTTCGGGTGGAATGGCAGCCGTCCCCCACTGAGCCCCAACCCCGGAGCCCCGGCCCCGGTTCTCCAGGGGCAGACGGCGCCCCTCCCAGCGTCTGGAGGAGGCCGGCTCAAAGCAAGCGGGTAGGGGAACCCCGTTTCTCCCCTCCCCGCCCCTGCACCCCTGCCCCGCCCCCCCGTGTGCTCGCTGGCTGGCTGGCTCGCTGGGCGCTGCTGACCTGGTTGGGGCAGAGACACTGCAGGGAGTAGTAGGCGAACTGGTCGCGCACGTTCACCAGGTTGTTGTTGGGGTTGATGTGGTCCAGGCAGTGGGACTCGGCCTTGCCCGAGGTCTTGCAGACGTACTTGCAGTTCCCGAAGAGGCAGTGGAAGTGGAACTTGTTGGCGTACTTGCAGTCCGTCGCCAGGCAAGGGTCGCTGCAAGGAAACCACAGCCCAGAAGGTCATTGGCATTCCCGGCACCCTCCCCACCAAAGTCCCCCGCCATTTGCTCCCTGACATTTGCTCGGGTCGGGGCTCTGCCCTCCGAGGCCCTGGCGGTGCAACCGAGTGCCGTGGTCCCGGGGCCGCCCTCCCGCTCAACGGGATGATTCAGCCCGAGGAGACTACAGATCCCAGAGTGCATTCCTGCCTTCTTTTTGGAGCTCAGAGGGTGCACCAGGGACTACAGTGTGCGGGCTGCCCGGAGCATTGCATGCTGGGACCCGTAGTTTCCACGGCCACACCCCAGGATTAGAGATAAGGATGCCTGCAGTCATTTCTGCGTGTGGGAATGAGGGATGCTGCTGCCAGCCCTGGCGGGACGCCAGCGAGGCCCGGCTGCCTGGCGCAGGGGTGGGCCTGGATGTGGCGGACTGATGGGCTGTGGGAGGGCGGGGAGCCCTACCAGGGAGCTGGGCTGCCCCGAGGCCCGGGCCAGTGGGCATGGGTGCCTGGTGTCAAGTCCTGCTGAGGCACACAACTGCCGGGGCTCCCAGGGCCATCTCGGGGGTCGGGGTACCCACCCACTCACAGAACCGCACAACCAGCTGAGTGGTGGGGCTGGTGGGGCAGGAGGAGGGCTGGGCCCAGCCCCTGCCCCAGAGCCCGGCCCCCGGGGCTGCAGACGGGCGCGCAGGGCAGGGCACTCCCGCCGCCTGTCCCGGCTGCACACGGCTGCCCCCGCACGGGGCCCCGTGGTGGGGGCTCTGACGGGGCCTGGCAAACTGAGAGGACGGCCACCCCGGGGGGCGGGGGGTAGGGAAGGGCGGTCGGGGGAGGGGTGGAGGAATGCGGGCCCGCCCCAGGTGCTCAGACAGGGAGGACAGCTGCCACTCAGGCGGTGTGAGTTCACATCCAATTTATTACTTTTATTGAGACCAGGAAGCCGCACACAGAATGATACAGAGTCACCGTTCTTGCCGCCGCAGGTAGCCGCCACCGCCACCGAGTGTGGAAGGTCCCTTCCGCCCCTGCGCGCTCAGGCCCCTGTGCAGGTGGCCGTGGGCCTGGAGGGGGGCACCCCCTCCCCCCAATGCCTGCCTGGGCTTGCCCTGCAGAGACTCGGCCACGCGCATGAGCCCCGGAGGAGACCGGCACGGTGCCCTGGGGGGAACGCAGCCTTCCTCGCAGGCCTTCGGGCAAGGACCCCCACCCCCGGCTCACCCACGTCGGTCCTTGCAGCGTCACCACTGGCCCTGTGTAACAGTGGCCACTGCCACCACGGTCCCCCCGCCCCGCCCCGGGCCACCTGCTCTGGGGGCGGGCAGTGAGGTCAGAGCAGCAGCATCTTTGGCTGGGAGGACACGGCCTCGCGGCCGGGCCCCACCGAGGCTGAGGCTGAGACCGGCCAGGGCTGACCGCGGGCTGGGGAGCAGCGACTCCTCGGCGCTCCTGGCTAGCACCTACTCCCGAGACGCGCGGGGGACACGAGACTCCCGGCTCATCGAGGGACTCACTTCTCCTGGAACTGGAGGAATCCGGGTTTGACCTGGGGCTTGGCATTCTCTAGAGAGGTCGTTGCCAAGGGCGAAGTGGGCAGGTGAGGCACGGACGCTGGAATCTGAGGCATCTGCGGGATGGTGGAAGCCAGCTGCTTCCAGGCGAGCAGGGTGGGGGTGGAGGGCACCACGGCCAGGCTGGGGGTCGGCCCCTCCAGGGAGGACACCGTGGCCGTGGTGATGGGAGGCGCCGGAGGGGACGTGGGGGCCAAGGAGGGTTTGGTCTCGGCGGCTGAGGCTGGGAAGGACGCCTCCGAGTTCCCTTTCACGGCTCCTCCCTCCGTCCGGAAGTGGAAGCTGCAGGAGGCAGAATGGGGTGTCTCAGGTGCGGAGAGGAGGGGACCCTGACAGGCCAGCCCTGCCCCGCCTCAGAAGCCCAGGGGCCCCGCCTCACCCCAGGGCCAGCGCCCGCTGTCGGGGAAGGACTGAGGACTGTGTCCTCCAACCCTGAACTTGGCTCCTGGCTCAGCCCTAACGACTCCTTACCACCTGTGACCTTCCTGATGTGTCTGCCCTAGCTCCTCCCTACTCGGGGGGGGGGGGGGGACAGCAGACCCTGGCTGACCGAGCCCATCCTCCGGAATCTGCTCTGAAGTGTAAAGGTTGGTCTCCGTGTCGGGGGGGGGGGGGGGTGCGGGATGCGGCTCCCCTGCAGACCGGCAGCTGGGGCCACCTGGCAGGGAGCCTGCCCGGGGCTCGGGAGCAGTGGAGATGCACTTTAAATGTTTCTGATTTCTGAGTTCAGTTCCAACGGGGGCTGGGCCTGCCGCTTTGCAGCTCAAGGGGTTTACACAGGTCCTTATCTTTAGGACGCGGGGAATCCACACACACACACAATGTTCTGGCTTGAGAAGGCCTTCGCCAGGGGTCCCCGCCAGGGCCAGAGCTGGGTCTCTGCAGCCGGCGGGCTCTGCGGGGACCGCGGCAGAGGGGCTGAGGCCGCCGGGCTGGGCGTGCTCATCGGGCCTGCGGCGGGGGCTGCCCGGGCGCGAAAGCCTGCCCGCGCCCGGGCAGCGCCTCCTGAGAAGCCAGCTCAGCTTCTGGGTTCATTTCTGAGGGGAAACGAGCACGGGTCTCGCGTGGAAGGCAGGGGGCGGCCTGTGCAGCCCCGGCCCCACCCAGCCTGGAGCCTGGCGTGGATAAAGGAGGCCGGGTTTGACGGGCCCCCCTTCCGAGGACCCTCAACTCACTTGGCATGCTTGATGGCCCCGTCCAGGGTGCTGAAAAGCGCGCCGCACTCCTCCACCACGCAGTGGAAGTGGGCCTTGTGCAGGAAGTCACACTGGGCATCGCAGAAGTCCTTGGTGCCGAACCTGGCCGGAGGGGTCGGCTGGTCAGAAGAGACTCCCGGGCTCTGGCGAGGCCGGGGTGGTGTGGGGCGGCCCCCAGGCCGGGGTCACGGCCCCGCCCTCCTGCCCGCGCTCCCAGCCAGCCCCTCACCTGCGGAGGTACACCTTCCAGGGCTCGGACAGTTTCTCCTGCACCAGGGCCTTGGCGGCCTTGCCGGGGAAGGGCGAGGACTCCACGGCCGGGCTCCCCTCCGCTTCTGTCTTGATGTTCAACAGGCCGCCGTGGTTGGGGCTGCCCTGAGACATCTGTGGGGAGCACAGGGGCCATGCTGAGGGCTGGGGGACCTCGGGACACACACCCGGCTGCATGGGGAGCAGCCGCAGCTCTGGGCCACTTGGGCCTGTCCCAGTGGACCAGAGCACAGCAGTGCTGGTGGCAGCAAGGACAGGACGCCAGGCCCGTGAGGCTCCGGCTGTGGAAGAGGCCCGTCCGTGCGGACGCTGCCCGGCCCCGTGCCTCGCCCAGGGCTCCTGCCCGCAACCCCAGCGCTGCTAGGAGCCCGTGCTCAAGCTGAGGCTGAGACTCGGGGCGCCCTCCGGCCCAGCTTCCCCCAGACTGCACGGCTCCCTGGTTATTTTCCTGCCAGGTTTTCAAAAGAAGTGCAGGAGGAGGAGGAGTGGGGGGAACCCCTGTGAATTCCTCGAGAACAAGAGAAGGCACACAAAGGAGGAGCAGAGCGGGAGGGAGGGAGGCTCCTGGGGTCGGAGAGAGACAGCTGGGAGCTGCTGGGCGAGGGGAGGGGGCGGCACGGGGGTCCGGGCAGTGGCCCCCTCAGGGCTCCCACAGGAAGGGGAGAGAGGGCGCAGGGGCAGGACCTAAAAAGGAGAAAGGAGAGCAGGCAGCCAGCAGGAGGGAGAGGGAAGGAACAGGGGCCAGGTGTGGGACGTGGGGCAGAGGGCGGAGGGCAGAGGGCGGAGGGCAGTGGGAGACCCTCCCCTGCCGGGGGCTCTGCCAGGGCCCCCACCCCAGGGTGTCCGGCCCAGGCCCGGCTCCCTCCTCAACCGTCACTAGTGTTCAGTAACCAAATTAATCTTGCTGTAGTCAAATTGATCATGTGAGGGGCGAAATATATTTGAGATGATGTATAATTCACAAAGACCCTGCATTATTTAAAATAAATATTCCGGAGCGACCTCTGCGGAAGGCGTCCGAGACCATTACTCAACCTGGAGAGTGGAAATGGATGCTTTGCCCCCACTTCGGCCCCCCTCCCCCATCCCGTTTCAAACAAACAAAAAATACACATATATAAAACAAATAAGTAAATAACATTAATAACCGGCGGGGAAAGAAGTTCGAGGGCTCCGGAAGGCTCCCGGAGCCCCTCCGTCTGAACGGAAGAAAGGGTGTCAGCGGCTGGGATATATTTCTTCAGCCAGTTCATTAAATTAATTTGTAAGCAGTGGCTCTGAAATTATATCCGATGAAAAATGGCCTCAAAATTTAAATGGTACAAACTCATCTTATTAGAGGCAAAACATTAAAAAACAAACACACCCCCCCCCCACACCCCCCCCAGCACGACTTTAATTTCTCTGGGTGGGGGGACTGGGAGGCGTGTGATGGATGGTTCTTACCTTATTCATAAGTGAGGATAAAAGAGATGAATTTGCCGGGACTGCGTGGCCATTTGATTCATTGCTGGAACACACAAACCAAGGGGCTCGCGCTCAGACGTGTGTGCGAGGGACGGAGCCTGGAGCCTCGTCCCCGCCGGCCCGGCCCGGCCCTGGGGCTCCGGCCAGGCTGCTGCCCCTTCCCCGGGCACGGGGCGACCCCTTGCCAGGAGGGCGTGGCCCCTGTCCCCCGTGGGGTCTGGCTCCTGAGGGTGCCATGCCCGGAGCCCCCGGCAGGGGCGTGGGGCGGGGAGGCCCCGCCCGGCCTCACCTGGGCTCCTTCACGGTCAGGTCCACACTGCGGTCCTGCGAGGCCTCCAGGGGCCCTGCGGCGCCCGAGCTCTCCCCGGGCTCCTGCTTCAGCGGGGCCGGGGCAAACCTGGCGGGACTGGCCTGCTGCCCGTTTCCTGCGGGGCGGGAGGCGGGGGAGATGTCGTTAGAGGGGACAAGGGCTTCATGTTGGGCACAGACCGGAACCCCCTGGGGGGCGGGCAGCGGGTGGGGTGGGGGGGGCGGTGTGCTGGGGCCCCTGGGGAGCCCTGGCTGCTGGTCAGTGCTTCTCCCCACTGACATGATTGCCTGTGACGCTCACCCCCGCGTGGCAATTCTTCAAGTGATAATTATGGCAAAATTATGTCAAAGTTGTCCAGGCTCAGGGCCTCCTGGATGAGGAGGGCGGGAGGCTGGGGAGGGGGCCGGGCCGGGCGTGGGGGCCCTTCATTCTGCCCACCGACTGTCACAGTCAATTTGTGGGGCTGCCGCTTAGGCTTTTATTAAAGACTCTGTTAACGCTGAGGCAAACTGGCAGATCTAGACTGGGAGCGGCGCCCCCTCCTCGGGTCCCGTCCCACTGTTGCCGGGGCGACGGCCCTGCCTTCCACTGAGCATGCCTAGGAGGGGCATCTGCTGGGTCAGGGCTATGGGAGCTGACAGCCAATCAGAGCGGTTCAAACTATGTGACCTCGCCCGTCAAGCTGTCCAGGACGGGGACGCGAGGCTGGGCTGGACGGGGGTCAGGGGGGAGCCATCGTCGGGCCGTGGGCCCGGGGGAGAGGCCGGAGCAGGACGGGCAGAGGACGTGGGAGGCCGGGAGAGTCGGGCCAAGGAAGTCGCTGACGGGAACGTGTCCACCCAGCCTCTCCCCGCAATCCCCAAGTGACTGAAATATTAATCTGCCCCCGGGCGCTGCAGCTGACAGAGAGCTGCTTCACGGACAGCAAGTGGCATTTTATTAAAAAGTACAGGAAAACGAGTCCTCTTCCTCTTTGCCTGACCTTTCTTTTGGGGAAAGGAGGTTTTTCTACTGAAAAGGAAGTACTTGGCAGTCTGAGCCCAGGGTGGCCTGGGAGGGGCCCCACCCCCGCCCGCAGGCCCCTGGCCAGAGGGGCATGGCCCCCGGCCATCCCGAGGACCCTCCCAGGAACGGAAGGTGGGTGTCTCCGAGCTGCGGGCTGACGGGAGCGGCCCGGTGGGGACGGGGCTGTCTTCTGAATTCCGAGTGTCCGAGTTCCGGCAGCTCCCCACCCAAAGTCATCGCCCAAGGTCCCCATGGGCAGAGGACCCGGCCACCCTGCCAAGCCCTGGCAGCCCTCCGGGAGGTCTGGGCCACCACGACCCTCAGTCCTGGCCAGTCTCAAGACGGTCTCGTGGGGAAGCTGGGTGCATGCGCCCAGGAACCGGACTGCTGAGGTCCGGGTTGCGGCTTCACCCCCTTCTAGCCACGTGCCCAGACACAGACCGTCCCCCCACTGCTCCACCAGCTCCGAAATGTGGGACTTTTGTCCATCTGCTTGCCCGCCACGCCCCGCACCCCCTGGGCACCCGGCCCCCAGCGAGACCGGTGGGTGCTGAATGGGTGAATGAATGAACGAATGAATGAAGTGAGCCGGTCCCAGACCTGAGGACCGGCCTAATGCTAGTTACCTGGAGGCGGGGGAAACAAGAGGATCCAGGTAAACAGAAAAGCCAAAACAAAATAAAACAAAAACAAAAACCCCAGAGGAAAAAGGCAGAAATGATTTTAAAAGAGCAGAGAACATAAGAAATCGGGGGACCGCCCCTCCCGGCGAGCCGGCGTGGGGGCAGAGATGGGACCGGCTCCACAGCCCCCACGCGGGAGCCCACGGGGCCGAAATGAAAGAAACTCCAGGTGCGCCCGGCTCCTCGGTCACGCTCGCCGTACTTAACCCCCCGCAGACGCGTGGGGCCCGCAGCTGCCCGGCCGGACGGCGCACGTCCTTTGCCGGGGAGAGCTCTACTGGCCAGGGCGGGCGGAGGGGCCGCCCAGGCAGGAATCTCCCTGAGTGTTCCTGAAGTGTCGAAACCCCCCCACCCCCGGGCTGGACTCACGCCCCCGCCCACACATCACCGGGAGGAAGCCCCAGGGAAACCTGGGGCTCTGGGGCGGCCCCCATGAGGGGCTGCGCTTGTGCCTCTGACTGGGCAGCGTGAGAAGACCGGGGTGCGGGCATGCACAGCCAGGCCACGGGGTCAGGATCATTGTCCCCGCGTCACAGGTGAGGCGGCAGAAGCGAGAGCTGCCTGGGGCGGGCAGGTCAAAACGGGGAGCCCTCACAGGAAATGAACAGGAAGGGGGCAGAGCAGGGGCAGAGGGCTGGGGTAAGAGGCCTCTGCCCTGCGCCCCAGGGCCAGGGAGCGGCGCCTGGGGTCTGGGAGGTGCTTGCTTCCTGGGCAGGGCCCCGCCTGCTCACCTGGATCAAAGGTGGCAGACGGCTTGAGCGCGGCCGCGGCCAGCCTGGCCATCATGGGCGAGATGAGGCCCTTGCTGGCGGAGATCCTCTCCATGATGGAGGCGGGGGGCATGGAGACAGAGGTGGTGGCGGCGGCGGGGGCTGAGTCACCGCCAGCTCCTGAGGCGGCCAGAGTGGGTGTGTCGGGGGTCGCCGAGGCCACCGCCCCTGAGGACATGGCGGCCATGAGGCCGGGGGTGCCCACCGGCAGGGAGGCGCTCCCGCGGCCCGGGAGAGTGGAGAAGTAGGGCGCGGCGGTGGGCAGGCCCGAGTTGGAGAGGGCCAGCGCCAGGGGGATGGAGCCCGGCAGGCCCTGGGACAGCAGCCCCGAGATCTTGCTGTTGGGAGGCTTGGTGGTGGCGCTGGGCGCGGCCTCGGCGGCGGCGGCGGCTGAGGCGGCGGCCAGGGAGGCGGAGGACTGCTGGCTGGTAGGGGAGGCGCTAAGGCTGGAGTTCTTGCTGCTCAGGGCAGAGAAGTCCACCAGGTCGTCGTTGCTGGACTCCTCGTGCTCCGTGTCCTTGGCGCCCAGCAGCGCGGGCGGCAGCCCCAGCACGCCCGAGGCCCGGACGTGCCGGCGCTCGTGCTTGCGCTTGTGCGAGGTCATCTGGCTGGTGGAGGTGAAGGTGAAGCCGCAGCCGGCGCGGATGCAGTGGAAGTGGTTGGTGGCCTTGCTGTACACGCAGCCCTCGTACTTGCACTCCTCGTACTTGTAGAACTTCTTGAAGCCGTCCTTGGCGTAGGCGTCGTCCTTGATGTGGTAGCTCTTGTGCTTCTCGATGTCGCACTTGTTCTTGAAGGTGAACGTGCAGCCGGGGCGCCTGGGTGGGACGGCGGGAGCCTGTCACGGGGCCTCGCGGGGCCAGGAGGAGGCCCTGCTCCGCTCCCGCCAGGGCCCAGGAGGTCTGGGCCTCCCGTGGAAGATGCCACAGGATTCGGAGATGGGGCCTCTGAGCAGCCCTCTGCTCCTGTCCCTGCTCCTGGCCCTGCTCCCCTGCGGGTGCAGGGCCCCAGCTGTCCCCTGGGCCTGGTTCCCGGCCTCCTGTCCCTCCCCCAGGCCAGCGAGCCTCCCTGGCACCCCCCCACCCCATTACCTGCAGTGGAAGTGGGTGGTCTTCTGCCCGTAGAACTGGCAGTCGGCCGTGCCGCAGTCCTCGGTGGCTCGGAAGCGCTGGAAGCCGTCGTTGATGAGCTGGGTGTTCTTCTTGTGGAAGTTCTCGTGCGTCATCACGTCCGACGTGCTCGTGTACACCTTGTTACAGCCCACCTGCAGGGGCCAGGATGGCCGTCAGGGGGAGGGCGGCCAGGCCCACCTGGGCCAAGGTCAGAGAGGCTGTCCTGACGGATGCAGCCGGGGCCTGGGGGTGTCGGACTACTGACCGCACCTGCGCACACCCAGCCAGGGAGACCAAGACGCTCCACTAGGAGCCACGGGAGAAAATCTCTAACCACCACCAGGGCCTGGCCCTGCCGGGGCTGAGGGTCAGCCTGTGCTCAGGGACCCAGGGCAGCCCCCTGCATACTTGTGGCAGCCCCCTCCCACAGGACCTGGTTTTGGGGTCCCAATCTACGGCTCTATACTTCTACAGCCCCCAGGGGGTAGGCAGGGCTGGACCCTGGGGCCTGGCGGTCACCTTTAGCCTGGGGACTCGCTGAGTGGATGGCTCCTGGCACCGGGCCCCCCCCCCCCACCCCAGCGGGGCCCAGGCAGGCGATGTGTGGCCATATTGAGTAAAAACCAGCGGAATCCGAATGCTTGCGCAGGCCGGGCCGTGCCAGTGTCTGCACCATCTCAGAGCCCGCCGAGCAAGCCCCCCTCCCCGCCCGGCCCAGGTTGTCCCCCGGAGCCCATAACAACCCCGGCAAATACCGGGGGCGGGAGGCACGGCGGCTGCCGTCCGCAGCCCGAAGTCGCTCCCCCTGGACCTGACACCTTGAAAAAGCCCAGACTCCGCGTGGCATTAAAACAAAGAATTAAACAAAAACCTCCTCAGGAACCATTTGCAACGCTGCTCTTGGTGTTAAAGCCTGAAAAATGTCGGTCTGTGTAAACAGCCCGCTGAGCTTCGCCCGCACCAAGTATGGCCACGGGGGAGGCCCCGCCCTGGCCCCCCAGCCGCTGCCCGCGTCCGAGCCCCCGGGCTCTGCTCCTGCCTGCTGTCCTCCCGTCCTGAGCCTGGGCCGGGAGAAAGGGGCCACCCCCCTCCGGGCAGGGGCGGGGCGGGGCGGGGAGCGCAGCCCCTCGGTGGGGGCGGGGCGGCAGGCACCTGCATGCAGTGGTAGTGGGTGCTCTTCCCGTTGAGGTGGCAGCCGTGGTAGTAGACGCTGCAGTCGTCCAGCGGGCTGAAGCGCATGAAGCCGTGCTGCAGCGAGTTGTCCCGCTTCTTGTGCATGTTGTAGTGCCGGATCACGTCCTGCTTGCTCGTGAACCGCTACGGGAGAGGGCCGGGTTGGCGGTGGCCGGGCCTGTCCCCCCGGGGCCGAGCACTCCCCGGGCCCACTGCCCGCCCCGGGCCCTCCGGTCTCCCTGGGAATAACCCCTCGGGAGGTCGGGGCAGCTGGGGCTGCCCCAGGGCCAGCACACTGGACCTTGGAGGGAACATCTCCGAAGGTTCCAGAAACACCGACTCTTCCCTGACCTCCCCCCAGGCTCCCAACGGCCCTGCCCAGGAGCAGAGCCGGTGAGCCAGACTGAGCCTTTAAGGGGACTCTGATGGTGACCCCTCCTCTAGCCTCGTGCCCCGCGTGGGCTACGCCAGCCAGGTCCCCGGGCGAGACAGGGAGCGGCCCCCGTGGGGCCTGCCTCCCTCCCATCACTTCCACGAGCCCTGCACAGGCCAGCAGGCAGCTTTGAACATGAGTGACCGTGCACCTCAACTCCCACGTTACGTCACCTCCACCCAGCGGGGCAGCGCGGCCGGCCCCCTGCGGACGCGGGGAAGATGGACGGGTCGAGGTGCCTGGGCTGCCGGGCACGGCCCCGGGTGCAGGGCGGACTCGGGGGACGGGACCTTGAATCAGCACCACCGGGATGCGGGTGGCGCTGGTCCCTGCTAGAGGCCTTATGGGCAGGAACCCGGGAATGTGGACAGGCTGGTGGTTTCCCCGAGTTCAGGTCATGAGGCCGGAGCGGAGCACAGGTCCCGCTTCTGGGGGGCCCCTGCGCTGCCGGGCTGCCGGGCGGGGGCGGCCGTGCCCGGGGGAGACCTCACCTGGTAGTTGCACTCGGGGTCGAGGCAGTGGTAGTGCTCGCGGTACTGGTAGGCACAGTGGATGTGGCCGCAGTGCTGGCTGCCCGAGAACCTGCGGACAGGGGCGGGCTCAGACCTCGCCGGGCGTCAGTCCCGGGAGCACCCTCCGGGGGCCTTGGCCCAGGCAGGTGAGCACAGTCTGTGTTGCGCCCCAGAGAAGCGCTCCGGGCCCCGTGTGGGGGCGGGGGGGGGGGAGGTGGTGTGCCGGGGTGGCGTGGTGGAGGCCCGAGAAGGCCAGGACAAGTGACCGAGCCCGTCAGGGAGCCTAGGGCCGTCGAGCTGCAGGCCCACTGCACCTGCCCTGGGAGCGCACCTGCCCTGGGGCTGAGTACCCGGTAAGGCGCAGGGCCTGGGCCCACGCGGGGAGGGAAGGAGACGCTGGGGCCAGCCAAAGGTCACGGCAGAGATGGGGGAGAGACCTGGCAGGGACGGGCAGAGACGGTGAGGGCAGGAGCCCCGAGGTGGCCCAGCCGCCTTCCGCGGAGGTGCCGCCCGCCCAGCCCTGGGCCGGGTGCCGGGGACCCCAGCTGAGCCGGCCCGGGGCTCTGCTGCTGAGCGATGTCAGAGGGCTCTCTCCGTCCTGGGCTTTCCTGACACGTGAAACAGTGCAGAGCTATGAATTTTTAAAGCGCAGCATCTGCTTGGTTTCCCGAGGCGGGGAGCTTGCTCTCCAGCCAACTCCGCAGCCGGGAGCTCCGGCCGCCTGGCCGCTGCCTGCCTCCCACCAAGCCCTCGCCTTCCCCGGGCCCCGATGCTGTGGGGCGCAGTTCTCGGGGCCTCGGGACGGGCCCCCGGGGAGGGCCTGCCATGGCGACTGGGGAAGACGTGGTGGGTGCAGCCCGCCTTCCCGGCCAGCAAGGCGTTGGGCTGGGGGCAGAGTGAGGAAAACCCCCTCACCATAAACCCCCTCGTAAGGGGGCGGGGGGGAGCCACTTGCAAATACATATTTAAGCTGAAGCTGCCAAAAAGGCCATCTGCGGAGGCACTGACAATAATGGTAATAATAATAATAAAGAGCAAAAGTGGAAAGACAGAGGAGGACGGGGAGGTGGAGACACGGAGGGACGAAGAACCGGGAGGATCAGCAGAAAGACAGCGGCCAGGGCGCGACCCCCGCCATGTGCCGCCCCACCAGGCACAGCAGCCGGGGGCCTGCTGCTGGGGCGTCTGTCCAGGTGAAGGCCCTGCACCTGCCCATCCTGCCGCCTTGGGGACGCAAAGGGGCAGGTCTGGGGTCAGGTGCAGAGGGTCAAGGTGCAGAGGGTCAAGGCCTGGTCCCAGGGCCCCGGAGGCCACCTCTCCTCCTTATTCCGGCCAGTTCCACAGCAGCCCACAGCCACCCAGGGCCCCGTGGGGGCTGTGGAGGGCGTCCTGCATTTGCCCGTGATGGGGCCCTGCTCCTGGTCCCCTGCAGGTCCCTGTCCTGCCTGGTGTACAAGCTGCCTAGGACTGGCCGCCCTGACACGGCCAGGGGCCGGGGCCTCGGAGGCGGGGGAGAGGGCGGGCCCTCAGGGCAGTTTGGGGCAGGAGTGTGTGGGGAGGGGGGCAGCCGGCACCTTGGCACGGGCGGTCGGACAGACTACGTAGGGTCCCACGGCCCCCAGGCATTCCTGGAGCCCCCCCTGCCTCTCTCCACGGCAGGCTCCTCCCCCGGGGCCTACCTGGCAATATATTTCTGGTAAATGTTTACATCTTCGGTGACAGCTGGTTTATCTGTGGGCAATCCGTTCCTGGCGAGAGACACACAGGGCACAGCCGATTAGCGGACGGGGGTGGCCTCACGCCCCGGGAGCAGCTGGGGGGCAGCTCCCTGCCCTGGGGCCCTGGCCCTCCTTTCCCTGGCTCAGCGGCGTTCGGGGGCAAGTCCTCTGGCTGCCGTCTGGCACAGGTTCCATGAGCTGAGCTCCAGCAAGGATCTCGAGCCGGCAGGGCTGCACGGCTCCCGGCACCTGGGCACGGGCCCGGTCTGGCCGGCCCGGAGAGCGGGGGCCTGACCCCCTTCGCACACTGGGAGCCGGGGAGCTGCTGGCTGAGGAGGGGCAGTGGGTGTCACTGGGGAGCGCGTCGGGGAGGGGCAAGGGCAGGTGGGTGCTCGGAAGAGCCTCCTGCACGGCAGAGGGCGGCTCCCTGGGTCTGTCCCCGGGTTGGGGGCCGGTCTCCGGGTTTGGGGGAGGGGGGCTCATTCAGCCCCACAAGGTCTGTGAGCATCGTTTTACCGCCGCCTACAGGGGTGGTTTTCACCCCCTTCCATCCCTCAGTGCACACGAGCTGATTGCTAACACTCTGTGGCACACCAAAAATACGTATCTTTTGCTGATCTGAGAAGAACATAGGTGTAATTTTAATTCGCTCACACCGATGGCTATTGCTGTGCTGGCTGTTGCCATTTTTTTATTTGGCACTCTGGGGGAAAAGGGGTCAGTGGCCCTCAGTGTCAGGCGTTGCGTATTTTAAAAACTCCTGGGGCACACTGACCGAGAATCACCGGCCTGGAGGTTTGCGCCGAGTAGCCCAACCCCACCCCAGCCTCTACCTTCTCTTGCTGCCCTTCCCCACGGTCCAGGCGCTGGACCCGGGAGCCACGGCCACCGGCTCGGACTCCTGAACCCCCAACCCGGAGCAGAGCTTTCCTAGCCACCCACAGCCTGGCCCTGGCGGCGGCAGGCGGCAGGGAAAGCCCGTCTCAGGCAGACGGGGTGGCATCGGTGTGTGGCCCGTGTGTTAGCCTGTGAGCACATGCATGGACGTACCGGGTGTGTGCGAGCCTGTGTGTGCGCGTGCGGCAGATGCACAGTGTGCGAGGCCACCCACTGGGTGTGAGAGGTCACGCAGGCAGAGAGACAAGGCTGGGTGTGCGTGGGCACACTCGTGAGTGGAAGCCCACGACGCAGGAGAACCTGAGCGTGTGTGGCTGTGTGCATGAGGTATGCATGTGTGTCCACAAACGTGAGCTGTGCAGGCAGGGTCTGTGCTGGGGCGGGGGGTGGGGGGGAGGAAGGCAGGGCCTTACTTGACGGTGGAGACGGTCCCCGTGGTGATGGAGTCTGTTTTGGAGAAGGCCGACTTCAGGTACTCGGGGGCACTGAAGGGCAGGGAGGCGGGCGGCTCGGGCCCCGGGCCGGCGGCGCTGGGGGCGCTGGGCACGCTGGCCAGGGGAGCGGGCGCCAGGCTAGAGGCGGGCGGAGCCTTGGCGGGGCCGGGCTTCTGGATGGCCCGGACGTCGTACTTGGAGGGGCGGCCCACCTTGCCGGTCTTGAAGGCGATGGCGCCGCCCATGTCGGGGCTGCCCTCGCCGGGCTTGAAGAGGTGCAGGTACTTGACGTTCTCCAGGTCGTACTTGGACGGCTTCTTGTAGGTGCTCCCGTTCTGGGGCCGCAGGTTCTCACCCGTCTTCAGCTTCTGGATGAAGAAGTCGTACTTGGAGGCGCGGGCCGCCAGGCCCTGCATGGGGACGCCGCCGTGCGAGGGCAGCGGCAGGATGGTGGCCTTGGTCTCCAGGTGCGCCGTGGCGCCGGGCAGCCGCAGGCCGGGCAGGGGGCCCAGCGCCTCCTTGCCCGCCCGATCCTCCGCCTTGGCGCCGTGGGCCGGCCAGGACAGCTGCTCGCCCGCCTTCAGCTTCCGGATGTACTCCTCGTACTTGGAGAAGCGCGCCCGCTTGCTGAGGGCGTCCTCCGCGGCAGGCAGCGTGCAGGAGGCGGCCGCCTCGGCCGTGGGGCCCGCTCGCAGCTTCTCGAAGCTGATCTTCCGGGCCAGCTCGTCTCGCGTGTTCTGGTCGTCGTAGCCGAACATGCCGAGGAACTCGGTCATGGTGGTGGCCGCGTAGTCCCGCAGGGACGAGGCCTCTCCTAGGGCAGGGAGGGCGGGCGGTCACTTCTGGGAGGGGGAGGGCGGGGGAGCCCCCCACGTGCGTGAGCCGGGAGCCCCTACCGCAGCGGGGGTGTAGAGGGAGGGCCCCCGGGTGGGGAGGGGGCGGAGCGGGACATGATCTATGGACATTTGGCTCACTTGTTAGGTTTTACGACTCTTAAATTAATTTGTTTTAAAAAAAAGTAATTAATACTGGGGTAAAATAAAACGAGTTCATCAATGCCAGGAAAATCAATTTCCTAAATGTTCTGGCCGATGGCTTTTCAGTACATTAAACAAAGTTTCATAAATGTCTCCGCTCTCTCGCTTTGGCCTAATATGAAGGAGAAGTCGTTTTACTGGAAGGGAGGCCAGAGCCCAACCTGCCTCCAGGGGCGGGGGTGAAGCCGGGGCCGGGGGCCAGGTGGGGACGCAGGCCCGTGGCGGGGCGGGCACGCAGGAGCCCAGGGGTGAGGGAGCGTTGTGGGTGGGGCCAGGGGCCTGGCTGGGCCTGCCTGGAGGACCCTCTTCGGTCCCCACGAGTGACACGCGGGCATCTTATCCCTGGGAGGACCTGTCCTCCGGCCCCAGAGCCCCAGGTCATGAAGGGTCCCAGACAGCGGGCCCAGGGGGCAGAGATCCCGCCGCCGTGCTCGCCTGGACTCTCTCGGGACCCCCGCCGCAGCCCAGATCTCCGGGCCCTTCCGCCCTCTGGTCCCCCTCTGGTCCCCCTCTGGTCGCCCTCCGGTCGCTGGTGCTGGTGCCCAGGGCAGCGGCCCGAGTGCGGCCAGCCCCCTGCCCGCCCGAGTGCACACGTGTGCTCACACTCACCGCCGAGCTCACCTCCCGCTGCCGCCCCCGCCTTGCAGATGCACGCGCCCCGCCCAGACCCCCCCGCCCAGCTCCCCGAGACTTGTCTCAGGGGGGCCGGAGGCAGGACGGCCCGATGCTCCCCCGGCTTTTCTCTGGGGGCCCCGCCGTCCGCACACGGCCGTCCACCCCAGCAGGCGGGTGACTCCGGGGCACGCATGAGGCACGGCCCCCTGCACCGAACGCCGGCGGAACGCCCGCCCTGGGCTGCGTTCTGAACCGGGGACGGGTGTGCGGGTGTGCGCACACAGCCCCACCGGGGCCACGGCAGGCGGGTGTGCACGCCCTCCCCCCTCGTGCCAGAGCCGGCACACCCACGCTGGGGTGCCGACGGCACAGTCGGGGAAGGTGTGGCCAAAGAAGGGGGGAGAGGCGTGGGACTCAGGCAGGGGAGCAGGTCGGGGGTGGGGGGTCTCCTCCCCATCCTGCCCCAACCTGCCAGGGCTGGGGTTCTCAGACCACACCTGGAGGCGGTCTCGCCGCGCCAGACGAGGCTCGGGCAGGTGAGGAAACCCAGCAGGTTGTGGAGAGAGGGGCTCCGGGCTCCTGGGGGTCGGGGGGAGCCGTCCTGGGAGGGCTGGGGCCCCAGGAGGCGAGGAGAGGACAGTCCTGGGCAGCACCTGGCCCCTGAGGCGGGCAGAGCGACTCGGAGAAGGGACAGACAGCTGTTCCCTTGGGGTGGGGGCGGGGCCGTGGCCTGGGGGCCGCTGTCCTGACCTTAAGCGTGTGGGACCAAGGCTCCACCTGGGAGGGGTGGGCTCTCCCTGTCGGGTCCAGTGGCTCAGGAACCAGGAAAGGGGGCTAAAAATAGCTGGAGGCAGCTGAGCCCTCACTATATATGGCAGAGAAAACAGAAGGCTTTGAAGGGCAGGCGGCTCAGAGCAGGGAGGGGGCCAGGCAGGGGTCCCGGGGCCGGCCCACGGGCCTGTATCCCCCAGCCCCAGGGCCCAGGGCAGGGGGCCGGGGACCAAGCCGGTGGCGGGTAGCTAGGGCCCCGGCTGGCCTTCTGCAGGGCCCAGGGACGAGCACGCCCACCCAGGTGACACACGGCTGCCCCACGGGGCCTCCAGCCAGAGGCGTGAGGTCTGGGGCCAAGGGGCCGCGGTATTTCCAGTCCTGCTTCTGGTCACCCCAGCCCCCGGCCCCCAGAGGAGAGGAGGCCGGAGGCAGGAGTCTGGGGCAGCGCGGGGCCGGGGAGAGGCCGGACGCTGAAGCCGAAGGGACGGCGGCCTCGTCTCTGCCCCTCCCCGTCCTCGGGCCCCGTGCAGTCACCTTGGGCCCGGGACCGGCAAGGGCTTTTCCTATCAGAGGAAACTGAAGGTCACACTTTTCCTCATTGATCTTGCAATGTTTGTTAATTACTCTGTCACTGATGTGGCGAAGGATAATTAAACAGCTCTGTTTATATCTTATATGCATAATTATGTGGCTGCGCAGGGCTCCCCGCGCAGGGAGGGGATGCGCCCCTCACCGCAGGGGGAAGGGGACAGGGGAGCGGGCAGGGGAGGCCCGGGCGGCAGGCACGGGCCTGGCAGGGAGGCTGGGGAGTGGAGAGAAGACCCCTCATCCTGGGGTTCCGGTCCCTGGGGTGACCCCGTCCCACCTGGGACCCCCCCGCCCCCCAGCAGAAGGCGCTTAGGGCCGCTCTGAGGACAAGCAGACGCCCGGAGGGCCGGGCCTCGGCCGCTCGTGGGAAAGAGGTCAGCCAGAGGAGCGTGCCCGGGGTGGGAGGGGCAAGGGGATGTTCGGGCCGGGCCACCCTGTGGCCCTGTGCCCGGCCCGAGCGGTCCTGCGGGGACAGCTGGGCTCCCTGCGGAGGCGGAGGAGGAGGTGGCGGTGGGCAGAGAGGCGGCGGGAGGGCGGGAGGCCAGGCCTGCCCTTGGGGGGCACTCAGAGACGGACGGCGGGCAGCCAGCCCCAGACGCTCGCCCGGCTCTGCGTCCTCCCACAGGCCCCTCCCACACGCGGGTGCGGCTGTCTGCCCACACACTGTCCCTCCGTCCGTCCATCCGCCTACCTGTGCACCCACTGCCCCTCTCCCCGCATCTGCTGCTTCCTGAAGACCCACTGTGTGTCGGGCTTCACCCCCACCCCCGCCCACCTCGTCTCCCCGATCTAGGCATCGGCGTGGCCCCGGCCCACCCTCCCCAGGGGTCCGCCTGGGTCCGGACGAGGTGCCACAGGAGTGCGTGTGGGAGGCGGGCGTGCCCCGTGGACACACCACTCCGTCCCCGCTGGGCCTGCCCGCCGGGTCACGTCCCGCCGGGGGGCTTCCGACACCCACCTGACGCCTGCTTGGCGCTGGGGCCGCCGTCGTCCTTGGAGGCCGCCCGGTCCGCGTCCTTCGCCGCCGCCGCGCCGCCGTCCTTGGGGGGCTCCTCGCCGTGGTCCTCCTCGTCGCTGCAGCCCCGCGGCTGCACCATGTAGACGCCCTCGGGCGGCAGCTCCAGGCCCTCGCGGGCGGCCCGCCCCAGCACGGGCGCGGGCGCCGGCTCCTCGCTGTACTCCCCGTTCACCCACTTCTCGATCACCGCCCGCCTCTTGTCTTCCTCGCTGCGGGGGGCCCGGGCCGCCCCCGGCTCGGCGCCACCGCGCTCTTTGTCCTGGGGCCGCCGGGGGCTGCCCTCGGCGTGGGCGCCGGCCTCTGCCCCTTTCTCCACCACCACCTGGCGGCTCAGCTTGGCGCAGATGGCGTTGAGTTTCAGGCCGCCCTTGCGCTTGGCCGCCATCGCGGGCTTGCCTGTGGGCGGGTCGGGGCCCCGGGTGCCTTCAGCTGCGGAGACGGAGAGAGGGGTCAGAGAGGCCGCAGCGGGGCGGAGGCTGGGCCCCCACGTCCCCCACGCCCAAGGTCTTCCCAGTCTAGACTCCGGCACGCTGCCTGGAGACTGCCCGCCAGGCGCACACTGGAACCCCTCGCTGGGCTGTGAGCTCCTCGGGTGGGGCGGGGGCCAAGCTCCCCCATCGCTCCGTCCCAGGGCCCGGCACCCAGCCGGGCGCACTAGCCGGTTGGAGGGGTGTTTTGAGAATGAGTGGACGGATGGATACAGGACTCGCCAAACACGAGGAGCGGCCTTCTCCCCAGCGCCTGGCTCCTGGAAGCACCACTACGCTGGTGTGGCCCCAGTCGCCCACTTGGAGAGGCAGGCCCCAGCCAGGGCGGAGGGGGCCGCAGGGTCAGCAGTGGGCTGTGGGGCAAAGCTGGCAGGTGACAGCAGCCAGACGCCGCCCCCCGGCCTGCTGGCAGCAGTGAGCCAACCTCCGGCCTCGCCGTCCCAGCAGCACTCGGAGGCTGCTGCTCTGCCCGGCCCCGCCCGCTCCCTGGGCCCCGCCCAACTCCGACCTCTGCTCCCCGGAGGGCCAGAAGGCCTCCTGGTCCGAGGCCTTCCTTGCCAGGGTCCTCTTGGGCCCTCGCGGGCCCTGCCCTGTCACCTCCCCGTGTCCAGGCCCCAGGCAGGGTGGTCCGAGGGCAACTGCATCCCTGCCAGAGGCCCCGGCTCTGCCATCTCCGCCTGCAGCCCCGCGGGCCCCGCCGGGCCAGGGAGGCCCACGTCCCAGCCCCGAGAGGCTGCAGTCGCTGCACCTAATCCCTGAGCACGACAGCCCAGCGCAGATGCCCCCCGCTCTGCCCGAGGGCTAGCTGTGTCCCTCAGGGCCTCTGAGCGTGCAGCCTGGGACCTGCCGCACGGGCCAAGGAGGACACACACACACACACGTGCAGGTGTGCACGGGGGCATCTGCCCGCCTGCCCGTCCACCTGTCCCTCCACCTGCCGAGGGAGCCACTCCTGCTGTGCGTGCGTCCCTGGGGCAGCGCCGGGGCGGGGTGGCGGCCACGACACGCACACGCCGACGCACACCGACCATGCGATGAGACGGGAGCCCCGCGGAGCTTCCCGACGACGTCGGCACCCCCTCACGGCCCCCCCGCCCCCCGAGCTGGCCGGGTGGGCGGGCCCCGGTCTCCACGTGGGTCGAAGGGCTCCGTGAGCAGAGGTGCTCTGCCCCCCGGTCCGTGGTTCGAGGAGGCTTCGCCGTAGTAACACACCGACACGCGAAGTCCCCCCACGCCTGGAAGCCCACCCAGGGGCACAGCCAGACGGGGGCGGGGGGCCGCACCTGTGCCCGCCCACGGCAGACTTGGCTCGCACACACGGACGTTGTCCCCTGACCCGGACAAAGCTGGGCGACCCCGGCTCCTTCCCCGGAAGCCAGCTCCATGGACGGCCTCACCTGGCCCAGGGGGGACTCCGTGACCCCAGCCCAGCCCGGGGTCAGGAAGGGTCGGCTCGCCTCACTCCAGTCCCCCCAGTCCTGGGGCCCTGCCTCCGGGGCCCCACCCTCGCCCGAGCCGGATGCCCACTCTGCCCACGTGTGTCCGCATCCCCGAGTCTGCGTGGCCCACACCCAGGTCTTCAAGCGCCGGCGTGGGCTCCTCCTGGACGCTCAGGGACGGGCCCCTGATCACACACCTCACCCAACCTCCAGGCCGGCCGCCAGGCGCCGTGACACCGAGTCCCCTCCAGCTGGCCTGCGGAGAGCAGAGCGGGCCTCACCTGGTCCCCTTTGTCCCCTTGCCCCGGTGGGGAAGGGAAGGGTGGGCGTGGGGAAGCCTGCTCTATTTTTACTGGGAGGTAAGCAGCCAAGTGTGTATGGCAGACGGCAAGTGAATCTATAAATATTTATCCTGGGGAAGAGGGAAGCAGAAGCTCCCAGGGCCGCACTTGCTGCTGGTGACACCCCCTCCCCGGGCCCCCCACCCATCCTGGAGCCTCCGGGCACTCGGCACCCCCCCCCCCGCCCGCCTGCCCGGCCCACCCTCTCCGATCTCGGCCGTGTGCCTGGCCTGGTCCCTCCTGGGCCCCCACCAGCTGCAATGCAGCTGTGCACCCGGGGCCCACCCCCAGCCCGCAGGCCCCTTTGCTCCCCCTCCACCCCCTCCACCTGCCCTCCAGCTGCGGCTCTGCCCCAGGCCACCTGCCTTCCAGATGTTGCCCTCCCTCTGACTCTACTACGGGTCCCCGCGGCGGGGGCGGGGGCGGCGTGGGGGCCCGGGGCGCGGGGCAGAAGGCGGAGGGTGGCCTTCCTCGGTAAGTGGGAACTCGGGCTAGGCTGGGGCGGCCGACGGGTGGGGGGGCGGGGGGCGTCCGAGCTGAGGGCCAAGTTGCCCGCCCACCACCCACCCCGTGGGGCCTTTCTCCCCCCACCTGGTGCAGCAGGGCCCGGGGACCCGCACACTACCCCCCTGCGGCCTGACCCCAGGCTCCCGTCCGTGTAAACACTGCCCGACTTTCTTCCCTAAAATATAAACGCCGTGGCCGGGCCTCAATGGGAGGAAGCCATCCGTCCCCGGCCCTGTCACCGCCCCTTTCATCTCTTTCCCACCGCCAGCCTGCCCGCGGCTCTATTTACACTGGACACTTCCTCTGGGAACAATACTGCCCAGGAGGCCGGCCTGGGCTGGAGGGCGGGAGGCGGGGGTGTGGGGGGACTCCCGCGCTGCTTACCCAGGGACGGGCGCCCCCCTGAGGTGAGGGGCAGGCAGCTGGGGGGGCCTGGCCAGGCCTGGGAACAGCAGCGGGGCCAGCGCCCGCACACAGGGCCTTGCGGGGGGGCTCGCTGGGCTCCCCCCGCTCTGGCCCAGCAGCTCAGGGACGGCTGAGGGAGCCCGGGAGGTGGCGGCGGCACCATGGGTCGGGCCTGGCCCTGGGGTCCGACAGGTGTGAGTTCCCAGCCTGGCTCGGCCCCTTGCTAGCCCCAGGCCTGGGCGCGCTTTCTCCCCGTGACAGGGCTGTAAGGCGAGAGGGTGCCTGTCTGCGCCAAGCACAGGGCCTGGCGAGGGCCCGGGGAAAGGCAGCGGAGTCCCAGGAGGGGGTCGGCAGGCCAGTGTGGTGCCACACCTGGGTCCCGGATCCTGAGGCCAGGGAGTCTCACCTGGCCGGAGGAGGGAGGAGGCAGGGGGGAGAGGAAAGAGGGCCCGGCTGGGGGTGGTGTATGCAGGCCGCCCTCTCGGTCACCGGGGGCCCCTCCCCGGCTCCCCAGGTCTGACCCTCCCTCCCAGGGCTCCGACCCAATGAGCCCCCCGCAGGCGGCTCTGGTCCCCGACTGAGCGGATCCTGCTCAGGGTGGGAACGGGGTGCCCCTCCCCACGCCCTGTCTCACGCTGTCAGGAGCCAGCGTGGCAGGTGCTGTCCCTGTCCCATCGGAACGCGGAGGAAGCTGACCCCGGAGCCCGGAGGGTGCCCCAGAGCCGGAGTTCCGGGGGCCAGGGCCCAGCCCGGGGCCGGGGCCACCACGACGTCCCTGCCCCGCGATGGCGGCTCCAGGGTGGGCTGCAGGAAGCCGCAGGCCTCTGTGCCCGTCCCCTCCTTGCCCGCACTCCCCGTTCCCCTAACACGGAGCCCCCTAAAGTGTTAACTGCGACGGGTAAAATGGTGCAGCAGATTGCTACAATAAATAATTTACTGATATTTATAAATATTCAAATCAGCCAGCTTCAGAAACCGAATGAAGGGAGGGTCTCAGGAGAAGGGCCCGTGCTGGCAGGGGTCTCATCTCTCCCTCCAAAGGCTGGGGAAGGCCGGGCTCCTGCCAGCTCCGGGGGGCGGGGGCTCCTGCGGCCGCACCTGGGCCCCTCGCCCCCCGTCTCCGGGGAGGAGATGTTAGGGCTCTCTGAGGGTTCCCCGTCTTCGCCCACTCAGGGTCAGGCCTTCCCCTGCCCCGGGCTCGGGGGACCAAGGCTCCGGCGCCCAGGGCTCAGGTCTGAGATCCGCCGGTCCCGCCCGGCGGAGGGGTGGGCAGGCCGGGGGACCCGTCCCCAGGGGTCCCTGGGAGCACCCCCCCGCCGCCAGTGAGTAATGTGCGGCGAGGCTGGGCAGCCTGTCAGCCACCGGGCTCGGGGTGCTTTATGGGCTCTGCCTGGTGGCTCCGAACTCCCTGGTAGGAAATAAAGTTCTCCCCGCGCGTCCCTTCCAAACATTTCACTCAGTGGAAACGGTGTTTAAGAAAAACGAGCGCATATTTCTTCCTAAGCATGCAGTGTCCCCTTTGGGCAGCCTAATGCCCGCTGTACATCAGCGGGGGGTGAGGCAGGGCCGGGCCCCCGTCCCCGGGGCGCCGGTGGTCCAGGGCCCGCCCACCAGCCTGCTGCCGCCGGGCAGCTCGGGCGGCACGGGCACCGCGGGGTCACTCTGGTGGCGCCCCGGCCCACGGCGCCCAGAGCAACGCGGCGGCCGACCCGTTCCGGGCACCACCCTGGAGCGGAGGATGCGTCTCCTCAGCCATCCCCAGCGTCCCCACGAGGTCCCTGCCCTGTCCTCGAGTCCAGGTGACGAAGCAGGGTCCAGCGAGGTCGGTCACCGCCCAGGGTCTCCCAGGGCTGGTGCGGAGCCGGGTTACTACCGCTGGACCCAGACATCCGAGGTCCCGGTCTGAGATCCCGCCCCCCTCCCCACCTCCCACAGCCTCCCACGCAGGTGGCGGCGATGTCAGAGCCTCCCCTAAGAACTTGACCTTGACAGGCCACAGCTCCAGCGCTGGGTGCCGGGCCTGTGTTCACGGAACACGCCCTCTGAGCCCCCTCCACGGGCCGGGCCGGGGGCCGAGTCCTGGGTCAGGACGTGAGCCGGCGGCCTGCCCTGTCCCTGCAGCACCGAGGGTTCGTCGAGACAAGGGGCAGCCGTTCACGTCACGATGAGCAACGTCACCGCGGTGACAAGCTCAGGTGCCGCAGGAGCGAGGAACATGGGAGGCAGGGAAGGGCTCCCGGCCCCTGTGG